ACCCCAAACCCCTTAAACCCCTAAAGGAGAGTGGGTTGGGGTTCCTTCCATCCTGAGCCTGCAGGAACTTCACCTGGATCGTGCCTTCAGCTGTAGAGAATAGGAAGTCATTGTAAAGGGTTTAGGGTTTAGGGTTTAAGGTTTAGGGTTTAGGGTTTAGGGTTTAGGTTGAGGGATAGAAGGGTTAAAGGGGGTGTATAGGGATGTATAGGGCTTTAGGGTTTAGTGTAGGGGTATATGGGGATATTCAATTGCAATAGTGAGATATACAGTTATGAGGAGTCTGAGCCTGTACTGTGGTTTGTACGGATTAGGGGTTTCGGAAAATTGGGCCCCTTTGTGGGAGTTCTCATGATAAGCAGCATAGAATATGGGGGTCTATTTTGGGGCCTCTTTTTCTAAAAGCACCTATAAGAAGGTAAGATTTGAGTAGTTTGAAGCGGGCTTCAGTTTTCGTTCTTCGTGTTCAGGATTGAAGGTTGAGGGCCGGGGTGTAGGGCTGGTTTGCGGGGTTTGGGTAGATGTGCTTCCTGCATGTTGGGAGTAGTGCCAGGCCAAACTTCCAATCACTAGACCAAGGCTGAGCATCAGTACATAGTGCATCTCCCCGGGGTGATTTTCCCAAGGTATTGAGATCCAACATAGTATGACGCTTATTATGAGAACACCTAAATTTGGTAAACTCCCATGGGATGATTTTCCCTGAAGAGCTGCGCTCTAATGTAGACCCGAAAGTAGTATAGTCCTCTTTATGGGGACTCCGCCCCCAAATGGTCCTTCTAATTTTGGGAAGCCCTAAATCCTATATAGCCCCAATAGAACCCCATATAACCCCTTTAAAGGTACACCGAATTTTGGGAAACTCCCTGTCAGTTTTCCCGAGGCAACGACTTGGGTGCACAGGCTGTCGTAGCCTTGGCCGAGGCAAGAGGGCATTTGGACTATAGCCTAAACCCCTTCAATGGGGGTTACATAGGGGATTAGGGTTTAGGGTTTAGGGTCTAGGGTGATTCTATAGGGGAGCATTATAGGGGTTATTAAGGGGGATACTTGGAGTTTAGACTATGAGTGATGTGAGCTATGGTCAATACTAGCTTATTAAGGGACCCTTGGCAGTGGACATTCTAAAGTAGTCCTTAATAATCAACCCAGACCCATTCAATTACGTATGAAATATTGATTTTAGCTCACGTGGAGCGCAGAAGCTGCAGATCCACTCCCCAAGGAAATCTCATCCAAACCCATGCGTTGGCATTTTGTTAGAGCGTCGAGTGCTTCAGTTGTTCTGTTTTTTGGGCTTAAGGCTGGTAAAGTTTGGGTCATCTCATTCAAGACGTCTGTGTGTACCGTACCGACAGCCCATGGATATGGTGGCTACGAGCGGGAATTGTGTATGGAGTATTGTAAACACCAATGACATCAATGTTCTCATTTTCACCTACATATTAGTAGGATAAGGCTTCAGGACACAGACATCAGAGTTGATCTTGGAGAGGCACTGGGAGCTGAATGTCAGCTCAGATCTTTGACCCTCCGCGAGAACTGTGCCTCAGATATGCAAGATGATGAGATCCCAGCGAGTAGCAGGGCTGCTTCCGGGAAGGCTAAGTTAATGCGTTGGTACATCCGGTTGAGAATTGAGAGGTTGTTCGCTGCGGTCTTGCCTGAACAGGATCCGTGATTGCCAGCACGCATGAAATTATGGGAAACTTAGCTTCTATTGCTGGCTTGATGATGGCTGCAGCATCAGGGGTACGGATTTCCTTGTGCAGTCTGTGTCAATCATCCGCTAGCCAGGTGCGTGTCCTGGACCTTGTAGCCTCTCCTTGCATTTTGGGAAGCCAGAGCGCAACCTCAACCTTATGTGAATAGTTGCGTAGACTTAGACTTGTTCCCTAGCACTTCTCACTCAGATGGTTCCTAGAAGCGAATGTGCCCTAAAGCCTCAATCTAGTTGTTGAAGCTCCTACGGAAAGCCTGTTGATTTGCTTCCTTGGCTCTTGTTGCAAAGGCTGCGAGGACATGGGCGCGGGCGCCATTGCAGAGGTCTCCTGCAGTTTTTTTTTTCAGCATCCCCAGTCCCTGTCATCGGCAGAGCAGGAATGCTTGGGCTTTGCCAGAGAAGGGGCCATTTTATTTGTGGTTGTACAATAGCTATCCCCGCGTTGACAGATACCAAGTTCAATATCAGGCACAAGTGACATGGTTTTGCTTCAGGACCGGCACCGGGCTTGAGAAAAGATGTGAGTTTAATTTGAGATTTTTCTTTCTACAAGGCTCCTCCAAGAACAGGAATGGAGTTTTTGAGCGACGTGAATGAGACATCACAAGCATAAATGCCGAGGAGTGATCCTTCGAACTGACAGACTGCAGTAACGGGAGAGATGTCCATGTACTGTTGTTGAGAACGTAGTCAGCTGACAAGCAGCCAAGCCGCCGTACACGCAGCTGGAAGGGCTAACTTCTTGGGGACCAGGTCTCAGGCTTGCCAGCCTTTCAAGCTTTCGCTGAAGATTGAAGCATTGAGACATGAATTAAGCAGTGGGATTTCTGAAGCAAGGAATTGTAAGGAATCCTGTGGAGCCCGAACGCGTGGAAGTGCCCATTCCATACCAGCCTGTCCCTGTCCCTTCCAGTTTGAGAACACATCTGTCCCAGAACTTTCCAGCCATAGTCTCCATGAAAGGTGCTGGGAACGTCTCTGAGAAAGGATTTCGGGCTTCAGAGCTTCCGTCTTGGACTTGAGGTTCTGCTGAAATTCATCAAGCCTGTCTGTAGGCTGTAGATCGTCCATCGGACAGGTTACCTTTGGGGGACAGTTCATCCAGAGCCTGTCTTACTTGAAATCGTGAAGTACGTATTGAGGCTTTGCCACTTGGAGGCTGGAGGCAAGGATAATATACCCTATTATTATTATTACTATTCCTATTACTATTACTATGACTATTAAACCTAGATCCCTAGATTTGCTTCTGCGTAGGCTCTTGCGCGCCACAGAAGTCTGAAAGAGCTGGACCTTGCTGGCAATGAGGCATTGTCTGACTGTACCTGGTGTCGTGCGGTTGTTGTCTGCAAACTTGACTTCAAATGTGCAATGCCCTAGTCAGACGTCGAGGAACAAGTGAGCAGTTTCTGCATGAAGACAACTTTGGAATCACTCCTGTCTCAACAGTGGAATGAAGTATTTTCTGCGCACCTGTGCACCAAAACAGTCTCCTCACAGGTTCTCTCATGTTGGGGCGACCCTTACGTGTTGCTCACAAGGATCACCATGTCGGGGGCACCAGTTGCATGTGCGGCGCATTCGAATCCTACGCCCCTGAATTCAGTATAGCCACCAAGACAGGATAATCTGTGTTGGCTGTAGCTGGGCATTTCCACACACGGTCATACCTTAAGGTATCAACCCTGCAGGATTCCTCCGCCCTCCTGCTTCAGGAGTTTCAGCCCGAAGCCCTTAACCCCAAATCCTACATCTGCCAGAGTTCCACCCTCTTCGAGAGAATCCTTAGAAGAGCTCCACCTAACTTGCTTTCAAGATCCTGATCCTAATGCCAGAGTTCCCCCCTCTTCGAGAGAATCCTTAGAAGAGCTCCACTTAACTTGCTTTCAAGATCCTAAACCATAAGCCCCAGACCCCTAATCCCTAAGCCCCAAATCCCTAAGTTGTCTTCCAGATCCCAAACCCTGAGCCCTAAACCCTAAACCCTAAACTCTAAACCCTAAACCCTAAACCCACTTAACTTGTTTTCCAGATCCGTGATGGTGGGGGCCAAAGCCTTGGACGGGCTCTCGCTACATCCCCAGGACCTCGGCTCGTGTCACTGGGCTAGGGTTTAGGGTTTAGGTGTTACATTACTCAATATCTCTATATATATATATTTGTATTTTATATTATATACTATAGTCTACATTCCCAAAAGGGGCTTATATAATGGCGGATCATATAGGGGTTCAGGGGTTACATGGATGGGAGTATAGGGTTGGGGGTGAAGGGTTTAAGGCTTCCCAAAATGAAGGAAACAATTTGGGGGGTCCCATAATTAGGATTATAGTGTATTGGAGTCTATAGCGGGGTCCGCCTATTTAGCGTAACTAACATGTAGGGTCATATTACCCCAGTGTTTAGCGGATAGTGGAAAAGGAAAAGGAAACTGCTGTTTGGGGTTCAGGGTGTGGGTTGAGGGTTGAGGGCTGTAGGTTTTGAGTCGAGGGGTCTAGGGTTCGGGGCTTTAGAAGAAAAAGGTTTAGGGTTGAAGGTGCAAGGTTTGGTGGTCGCGAGCGTAACATTCAGGGCTTCGTTTAGAGGTTAGAATTTGGGGCTTAGGTTTTTGGGTTCAGGGCCTGAGGGCTGGCGGATGGGTGGTTTTGAGCAAGCTGATCGAAGACAACAGGAAGGGTGTCCACACAGACACTAAAGTGTGAGACGCTTTTTTTGCAAGCGCGTCGATTTTCAAGGGCTTTGCAAAGGTTCTTCAGATATGTCATTCCATGGGGCTTTCAGTGTCTAGAGGTGTGCCTCATATCCTCGAGGTGAGTAGTTTGACCACGACAAAAAAAGTGACTGCGCAAGGGGTACTTCGTAGAATTGACTTCGGAATAAGCAGGGACGATATGGGCTGTTGTTTGGGCTCCTTCGTTATATCTCCTTATAGTAAGTATCCCTATATAGCCCCTATATCCCCCTTTAAAGGGTGGAAAGGTTGGCTTTTCAAGTTTGAGAGATGTGCCTAGCTGGCCTAGCCAAGCTCCTATAGCATTCCTGGGACTCCATGTCGGATGCTCAGGACCTCAGAAGTCCTCTTCTCAAAGCTTTCAGTCCCCAACCTCGAACCGCAAAACATCTACAGTCCCAGGCCGAACCCAAGCCATGCATCCGAGATCTCTTCATGGAGCTCAGGTTTTTGGGCCTGAAGAACAACAAGATCGGTGTGGAGCTCGGTATGAGGGAATGCTTTGAGATCTTGGGTCAAGCATGATCGCAAGCACAGCTAAAGCCGGAGGGGTCCGATGCCATGTGGTATCCTTAGTATCTACCTTGTTAGACATGCCCTCTTAAGTAGATAGAATATAGGGTATATGCGGATCTTATTAAGAATATACCCGAAGCCATAATCTATCTACTTAAGGGGGACTATAGACTGACAGAAGCCAGCGGACCTTTCGAGCCTGCATGTGAGGTTTCGGCATGCACCTCTGGTAGGTTGGCTTCTGGGGCCTTGCTAGGTTCTTGGAGCTGTAGCGAACACACCCCCTGCCATCACAGCGTGGCACCCAAGCGGGATGAACTTTTTTTTTTCAAATCCCAACGCACTCAATACATCTTTTACTTGGGGCTGTTAGGGAATCAGGGAATATGTTTAGTGGGGGCTATATAGGGGAATACATTGTATAAGGATTATATATATCGATTATATTAGCTCAGCAGCTTGGTGGCTGGCTGATGCAGGAGCCCTTTCGTCCTAGCATCCACCTTAATATTTTTTTTAGGGGTTTTGTGTTTAGGATTTAGGGCTTAGAGTCTAAACTTTTAGTATTTCCTTCAATAACCCATTTAGTAGTCCCCAAATAATCCCTTATCTAACACCCCTTAAAGGACTTGAGATTATGCCTCACCTGGTTTTTCAAAACAATCTTTGTAGGGCTCCAGAAGCCCCCTGGTACTCTCCATGTATGGTAGTTTCCTTACACTGAAAAAGTTACCCCTCATTTTGGGAAACCCTGCACCCGAAATCCTAAACCCTAAGCCCTCAACCTTGAATTCCTTAAGGGTACACTTGTGAGAATCAGCTCTGATGCCTTAATCCTACGACCGAGGTGATGCAGGACGCCGGATTTCTCACAATTCTCCAGCGGTAGGGCTTAGTTGTAATAGTAGTATTACAAGAAATGATAGTAATAGTATCCAAATCAGATGATAGTTGTCAAAACAATTGGGTAATTGATGGAGTCTTCCGGAGGGTCAGACAGGGCTTGCGTTGAAGGCTTAAGAGTTCCGCGCGTGAGTGGTTTGGGGGTTGAAGCTTTAGAGTTTAGGTTTGGGCGTGGATTGATGGCCCTGCATGATTCGAGGCCATCTCAATGGGACCTTTAGGAGCCCTCCGGACTCTAAATCACAAATCGTTCAGGGATTTGGGGTTTTAGGGTTTAGGGTTTAGATCCTATTGGCCCAAAGTAAGATCCCAAGCCCTTTCAAGCCGTGAAGCCCTAGAAGCAGAGCAGGAGTGGAAGGCCTGGCCCTTGCTTTGGAGAAAAGCGCCTGGCTTGAGGCTGGGGGTCGGCCCCTCTTTTCATGGCATTTACAGGATCAAAAAATGAAACGCAGGGATCCCCCAATAGGTGTTTCGCTAGGTATGGGTTAGGTTGACGGGTTTGGGATTGAGGGATCAAACAGGGTCTTGAATCTTGAACTTAAGCTTGCGGTTCATGTTCGTTCGGTTGCACATGATCTGAGCATCTCCAAGGAGTTGTAAATAATGTGAAGAGCGTGCAGAAAGTCTGTTGAAACTCTTCGCATCTTGGATGTTCGATTCCTTACCATAGGTCAGGCACTCGCCCTATGCTTAGAGCTCGGTTCCTCAAAAGAGGCGTAAGTCTTAGCCTTGCTCGGAGGCATTCCTTCTCTTGCTGTCTTTGCTTTGGTCTGAGACAAATGTTTAAACAGAATGGGCTCCTACCCATGCACTGACGGGGCTGCACGCTGCAGGAGTTGGACCTCAGCAACAACTCCATCGGCATGGCAGGCGCCATTGATGGAGCTTTTGGGCTGACATATTTGGGCTTGGTAGCTGGTAATGTGGAGCACGGTCAGCTGCTTCGTCCGGGAGGTTTTTGATGGAGGAGGACCCGTTTATTTACTGGACCCACTTGCAGAGATTGAAGGGGCTTTTCTTGCCAGGGTCGCCAACAAAATACCATGCTATGTGCAACTGCTGGATCTAGAACAAGTATATACAGAAATGCTACAAGACTCAGGTAGAAGGTAGAGGTGTCGTCATGCTGGCGTCACATGGTATAGTAGCTTCCAACAGCGATGATCCCATACGTATACCTAGAATCTAAGATATGCAGGTCGCCCGCACCATTATGGCGACATGACTCTGGAAAATCTCGTGTTCTTATAGGCAAGTCGCTGCGGGAAAGCAGCTTCCCAGAACATGCACCAGCTGTCAATCAGCAAATATGCCTCAGGTCAGTCATACCTAGACTCCGAATATGATGTAAGGGAAAGGGCTCATTTCAGGAACCTGCAGAAAATCTAGGACAAATTCCTAAGCTGATAGATGACAGATTGTTGCGAAGTTCTGGCTCACCCCAAGCCCCAACCCCAAACACTATGTACTGAGCCCTAAACCCTAAAACCTGAACCCTAGACCCCTGAACCCTAAACCCTAAACCCCTCAAGCACCCTAATAGCCCCGCGAGGCGTCAGCAAGCTTTGCTCTGCTCTCGAAGCGAACAGCACGCTGTGGTCCTTACCGCTGGACGGCAACGAGGCCTTGTACTATTAGACTTACTGGTGGTTGTTTAGGGTTTATTTAGGGTTTAGGAATAAGGTGACATATTATAGAGGGGTTATATGGGGTTATTTAGGGGTTATATGGGGGTGAAAAAAGGATGATATTTTCTTTTTCCCTGCCAACCCCAAGTAAGCAGAGTGGGTTGCTGGGTTGAAGGTCTATCGGCCTTCGGGGTTCAGGGCTGTTGGTTCTCAAGGAGGGGGGGCTAAATGTTGGTATGAGTAGTAGTCTAAACTCCTATGCCTAGGAGTTTAGACTGTATCTCATATGCCTTTAGAATTTGGTTTTATCCGCTTTGATTGTGTATGGTTTACGTGCCTTTATGTTTGGTTGCTGGGCTCGTGTATAATCTACAAATTGATGGAGAACCGAACGCATTCATGCTGTAAGGTTTCGACATTTAGTAGATAGTATGGTCATAATGATGCAGGCGAGCTTCATCCCTAGTTGTCTCATCACTACTGAGCGGTAACAAGCGGATGCATGTCATGTTCCTTGTTTCAGATTTGGAAGTAGGTCGCATTTGAGAGTTCCTAAGCCCAATTCCAGTATACGGGATAGCAGTTTGGGTTCACCTTCATCGACTTTCTAGATCTTTTCAGAGGTCTCTTTTACTTGCAGGACATTTAGGTCGTGCTTCCTCAGCGACTGGCCCGCTAGCCGGCTCCACTCAGTCAGAAGATAAGGGGGAGTCTTCGCAAAAACATGTCATTGTTTTTTGGGGTCCGCCTAGTCAGGGGTTTGATATTCTGGGGGTTGTAGTGGCCAGCAAGGGGGCAGCAAAGCATCCAAACTGAAAGGGGCAACCCCTTATCGGTCGCCAGTTTGCGAAACCTAAGAACACCTGAGACCTTTGAGCCCAAGGCCCTGCAAAGGCTTGTGTGAAGCTTACTCTGCCTGCGAAGGCAGAGGATGATGTCATTGCTGGGGTGGAGGCCTGAACCCCAGATGGTGTTTAGGGTTTGGGTTTTTAGGGTTTAGGGTTTAGGGTTAGAGTATTGGGATCCTCACTTCAGGGTAACCTGTTAGGGCTGGAGGGGGGGGGCAGCTTTGCCCGGGCATGACTGTTCAGATAAGGGCGCAACTTTTGGGTAGGATTGGGAAGGGTTGAAGCTGCCTGGCTACATGGAAGCTGATGGAGATTGTGCTGGCTCGAAGTGAGTTTTCTTAGGTCAGGTGGGGCTCCAGGTCCACTTCCGGCCTTTTTTTAATCAAGCGTCCACGAATGACTTGTACTTCGGGTATAGACGGGTACTACTCTTGATACTAAAAATCCTGCATGGACCTTAGTATACTATAGTACCAGTATTCCCAAGGTTTAGGGTATATAGGGTCATGCAGGATTTTTAGTATCCACCGTATTATTACTCATTATTGTTCTTATTACCAGAAAGGGGAACCCGTTTTTTTTTGAAGTCCAAGAAGCTCTCCTGAACTGCTCGTCGCTTGAAGGCCTTGGCTGCTGACGTCACAGGTCGACGTGAGAGGCACGAAAATGCAGAATTGCGGTGGGGGTGTTTAAGGTTCAGAGTTTAGGGTTCAGGGGTGGGAATCGCGGAGCTCAAGTAGGCTTGACAGCTTCTGGCAGTTTGCAGAATTATGCGATTGGCTTGTATTATTATCATAAACTTGATTTGCTCAAAAAATCATTTCAACACTTCTTTCTGTGGCTGAGTTTCTAACGGAGGTTGCAAGCATGCAGCATGACCCATGGTCAGCTTGTGCTCTGGGGCCCTAGACTGCAAACCCTAAACTTTCCTAAGCCCTTTAAGCCCTAATTTCTCAAATCTGAACTGCAGTGGCCAGGCAGCTAGGTAGAAAGTTCCGGTTATGGCCAGGTAATATCTTAGACTAGGCAAGTTAGGTAGGTAAGTAGGTCATTTTCTTGTAGATAGCAGACTATAGACCGTAAGTAGCACTGGTGTTTTGTAGTGCGCCTACTTAGCCCCAAAAACCTACAAACCACTAGAATCCCCCTCGCCATTTCATTGTCCAGTCTCTCTTCCTTTTGATTCTCCATTATTGGGGGTAATGAGACCCATTCATCCCAATGTAACCCCTACATAACCCTACCGAACCCACGAACCCTGAACCCCAAACCCTAGACCCTAATTCGTAAACCCTAATCCCTAAACCCCAAACCCTAAACCCTAACTCTTTAAACCCTAAGCCCCTAGACCCCAAGCCCTGGCCAGGCAGCCCCTGAAGCCCCGCTTTGCTTTTGCCGGGGCCGTGCCGGCCGAGGGCGAAGACGGCGAGGCCACGGGCTCTGAGGCCAGAAGGGCTGCAGTGGCATTCCTTTGATATGGAGATAGGGGTTAGGGTTTAGGGAATATAACACACGTTTGTATGTATGTATGTATGTATGTATGTATGTATGTATGTTTGCATGCATGCACGGATGTATTCATGGAGGTATGTATATACATATATGCACATTTAAATATACATGTATCTATGGGGTGCAGTAACTGTCCAAAAAAGGGTTTAATTATTAAGGGGCTAGTACAAGTCGAATTTCTTCGGGTAACCGTTATTGTAAGGAGATGTGTGTGTATATATATATATACACAATATACGGGGTTTATACAGGGATAGTTGGGCAAATGTAGGGATTTGCAGGGGTACATGGGGATGTATTGCCGTAGGCTCAAGGCACAGCACGAGCATAAGGAGGCAAATTCAAAGTTGCCTGATGTTGTGGGTTCGGACTTCATTTACACATCAAAAGGACGTCGGAAGCAGCCTTTATTCATGTTGTCATTTGTCGTGGTCGTGGTGATCACCCAGGGCCCACTCAAGCCGTACTCGCTTTGTAGTGCCGGAATATCGAAATAGCCAGGAATGGACGCACGGGGTTTTAAGATGAAAGCCTTACCGTCCCAGCAAATCCTAGTAGGTCCTCGAGATCCCATGCACACCTTTTCGGGTAGTACTTCGTATCCTCGTTTGACGTATAATAGAAGCCCACCTTACTAGGTTCAAAGAAACAAGAAGATGTTCTTCAGCTCTTTGTAACCCACTCCACAATGCCAATTTCCAGGTCAATCCTAAGTAATCCCGAAACCCTAAGCTCCAAACCCTACACCCCAAACCCTACACCCCAAACCCTATATCCTAAACTCTAAACCCTTACTTAACAGCTAACCTCTAACCCTTTGCAGAAGAAGTTCAGAGCTCTGACAGGATAGCAGCCCTGCGAGCTCTGCTTCCCAGGTGGGGTCCTTTTGTAGGGTTATAGGGACGTACACATACACACAGACATACACACGCACAGATATGTATATATATATATATATACAACTATGTGTATGTTACCATAGTATTTTATATATAGTGTTCCTAGCATTGTCATTGTTGGTATCATTGTTGTTACTATTCGTATTGCTTCTGTGTAATGTTTATGGGGATATATACACATGTATATTTATATGTACACATAGGAGTATAGAGAAGCACATGAAGTCTTTGGCTTACCGCCTATTGGATTAGATGTCGGGAGAATCAGATGGACAAGAACATTGAGAATGACAACTGAAACGTGGTTAAACTAGGGGTACCTTCAAGACAGATAGGTGGGGTTTAGGCAGGGATTGCAGAGCCGCATTGCTATTACTAGTACTAGATTTTAGGGTTTAGGTTTAGGGTTTACGATTACTATTACTGGTACTGTTACAGTTACCCCTATACAAAGGCATCAAGACAATGTTCTCGAGCTTCCCAGGTGTCCTCTCCTTCACCGGCCCCTAAGCCCCGCGAGGTCGCCAGGCCTGGGTTGGCATAGCAGGGCGTTGGTCTGAGTGTTGTTTTTGAAGCTACTACTAGTATTACTATACTTATTACTATCGAGTATTAGTAATATCACTAGTAATATTACTAGTATTATGAATTATTAGCAGTCTCATTACTGTACTACTGTTATTACTATTAATGGCAGTGTTGAAAGTAGTCCAGTGGCGCTAGCAGCAGCGGACATACTTTGATTGGCGCAGCATTTCTAGTCAAGTGGTAATAGTATCATGATTCCAAGATTAACCGTCACATTTTTCACCAGCTCCACGCTTTTCACCCTAAACCCTGAACCCTAAACCGAGTAGCAGTAGCAGGAGCAGCCAGTTTTGCTTCAGCAGCGTTGCCTCAAGGGCCAATTCCTAGCCGACAAGCCTCAAGTTCAAGGTGACGCCCCCCATAATATTTGGGGATCTCCCAAAGTCAGGGGTGCCTTTAAAGCGGGTATATAGGCGTTCTTTAGGGGTTAGTGTTTTCGGTTTTCCAAAATTAGTTTCTTTTTTTGGGGTTTCCCTATAGTAAGGATTACGTTAGTTTGGGGTTTTTATATGTTTATATATATATATACATATGTGGTCCCCCCTGTTTTACCATTTGCGACAAACCCAATAAAAGCAAGCCTGCGCCTGACAGGCCAGAGACCCGAAGCCTGGCTGATGCAGAGGCTCCAATTGTGTTGTGGTATGCGCAGGGTTTGCTTCTTCCTGCGCTTCATGATGCGTAGTGACAATGGATGAGAGATTGCCTTTTTGTGCAGATGATACTCCGCAATCTGGGTGTTGCTAGGATTTGAGCCGTGTTGAGCAGTTTTTGGGATGTTCAGATTGGATTGCCTTGCAGAAGCGTTAGCCTTGTGATAGCCAGTTGTGGCTATAATTTGTTTTGTCAACATGAATTAAATTAGCTTGAAATTAGGTTTCGAATAGGAACGCAAATTAGGAAAACATAGGACCAGAACATGGTTGGGAAATTTCAATGGGGAAAAATAAGATGCTTTAGCCATCATCCACGCGAGCTGAAGTTTTACTTCAAGGCCAGGAACTGTGCATTCCATTGGAATTGTTCCTGAAGCATGCTAGTAATCTTATCCCAGATTGGTCCAGGACCCCTCGGCACCAGGTAGGCCCAGGTCCCTAGGCATGGCCTATTTTGTTTTCTATTTTTTTCCTATTTGATGTTGGGGGATCTTATTTTTTTTTTTCTGATTTGGTTTTGGTGTCCTTTTTTTGGACTATTTTTCAAAATTTATTTCGATTTTTTTTCAGATTTTTTCTCCTAAGTTTTCATTTTCACATTTTTCTTTTTTTTCTATTTTTCCTAGAGCTCTCTGAAAATCACTAGAAATTCGGATTTCGGCATCCAGGGCTTGAAAAAAGGACATAGGAAAAAACAGGCCTTCGGCAACCCAGAGAACAAATAGGAAAAACTCAGGCCAGGAGTAAATAATGGGTTTTGGAAAAGAGCGGGCCCCAATTCCTGAAGCCTTCACAAGTCCAGGGCCAGATTTATAGGGCGTGTTAGGAATTAGCGTGGAGATCGCACCAGTTTCTGTGGCATTCGACGAATCGGGGGCGAGTTTTGTAGCGTGGGTACGGTGCCAGTTCCTGAAGCATTGGTAGCATGCATCAGAACTTCGTCTAAAAGTGATGCCAGTTCCTGGCCTTCCACGAGTCTGGGAAGAGAATGGTAAGGGTCGGTAACGCTTCCTGGCATGGATATGGCCCTCATTCCTGAAGCATTGAACAAGCTGGAATAAAATTAGTACCGTGCCCCAGCAACTGGCGCTTTGAAGCTCTCTTGTCACACGGTCATTAGTAGCGCCCAAATGACTCGACAACTTGCAGGTCTCCCGAAATGCCCCTTGTCAAAGCCCTTTTGTTAGCGACGTCATAACCTTTACGAAAGGGATGCTGCTACCTAGCTGGGATAGGGTGCTGGACAACGACACAGCTGGTTCTTTCTATCCCTATTTTATTCCTATCTTGTTTTGGGGGTGTCATTTCTATTTTGAATCTTTTGGACCTAATTTAAATATTTCTAGATTTTTCAGAGAGAGCCAGCGATTGGCTAGCACAACGTTAGCCGCGACTTCCTGCACGGTTCTTCTTCAGCTGGTTTCCAGCACGCTGGCCTAGCTCTGGATTACAAAGACAGTGCGAACCCACAGAGATTCGGAAAGATTCTTGCATTGTTGCCCACCACCTCGCAGTGCAATGGTGTCTCAAGCTGGGCGGAACCCGCGGAAGCATGCCGCGAGAAAAAGAAGCGAACCGAAGCTGCGGCACTGGCCACTGAACCTGTTGTCGCCAAAGTGGCTCGTTCCACCTCTACAGGTCCAAATTCACTGCCATCCATTCCCTCCAGTGGCACGGCGTGGCACGACAGTCCAGCGCTGACTCAGTATCGCATCCTAGAGCCCCAGCGAATGTTAGGCCAGTAGCACCGAAGCGATGTGCCTGGGCGCCAGTTGAAGCGCGCCACAACGGCCGAGGACATTCGGTAGCCACGTTGTTTGGCTTGACAAACAACCCAGCTCGCCGGCTGGCAGTAGCACCAGCCATCGTGTTGCATGGATACTGATGCTATTCATTGGAATCATTGATTTAACCAGCACGGGTTCGGTCATTCTTCCAGCAGCTGGATCAAAACTGACGAGGTCCACCCCATCGACCCAAGCAAGTTTCATTGCTGCGTACACACGGAAGTGAAGCTTGATGGTAAGAGATCTTGTCCGTTTCGTGACCCTGCAATGAACCCACCCGATGAGGTCGAACACGGCGGTGAAACCCGCGCCTGTGTAGCTCGAAGTTCTTCTGAATGGGTCAAATAGACTTGGTCATTGCATTAGTCCTTCAATCAATGTTCCCACGTGAGTGAGGTAAGTTTGATCTTAAGTTACACGTGGCAGTGAATTCAGCAGTTGTGCAGCTCGGCAGTGGCAGATCCTGTCCGTTTTGTGATTGGGTGAAATCGAAGTTTGATCTTAGGTTGCACGTGGCAGTGGACTCCGCAGTTATGCAGCCCGGTGGTGGCAGATTTTGTCCGTTTTCTGACTGGGTCAAATCGGTGCGGTTGGTGTGCTTAGCTTCTGAAGAATATCACAACCCAGGGAGCACCCGAAGCACAGGCATAGCCCAAATTCTGATGTAGGGCTTGCCCTGATGCCTGACGCAGTCACAACATGCAGGAAGTTTCTCAGGAAAGGGGGCCTGGTGAATGTAGATTGGAATTGTTGTGATTCAGAAAAATTGCTAGAATCACCTGCGTGCAGGCAGGAATGGAATCCAAGAATCGGAAAACCCACAAAGTACTCCCTGACAACAGGAGCCAACGCCACTTTATGTTATACCGTATATCTCGACAGTTTGTGTTGCGTATGCTGGCCCCTATCTATATGTCATCTTGCAATTCAACCAAGGGTGCATGGTTGGGTTTTTCGTGAAGGTTGATACATTGCGAGACACACGAAGGATATCCAAAAAATTGTTTCCACGATGCACCTTGAAGAGACACGGAGCCGCCAAGCATGCAGTGTTAAACATTGAACTTGAGCCCCTGCAGGCAGGGCGTTCAGACGATATGGTGCAGCTTGTGGACAACTTCGTGCAACGCCTCTCGCTGCCAGCTAGGGGAATGCTAGTGGGTATTCATCCAGGTTGGTCTTGTAGAGGACGATGTATGGATGGTAGCGTGGAGGTGGGTTGTTTCGGGGAATTCTTGGGGCGCATACATTGTCTTGAAGACGCAAACAATGCCAATTGCCTCTTTTTTGTGTGGTCGGTGCTCTAGGCTGAAAGATCAACTCATGCGTCGGCCAGCAGATACTGGCAGAACATAATCAGTGCCCGTGCATTTTGGAGAGTTTCAGCAGGCGGCCGACCAGACAATGAATCAGCATTGTGTTCTTTCTTGTCCGCCCTAGATCCTACATGTTCTGGCTAGGTACGGGAGATGATGATTTCCATTCTTTCGCCTTATGCCCGCAAACTCTCTCCCTATTGGTAAGCATGACTGAGATGCCCCATATCTGAACTAGCCTCCCAGCCCTAGTTCCCAAACCTTTAACCTTCAACCTCCATGCGCCTGCGTTCAGAATGAGGCTTCCTCCAACCACCCAGTGGGCAAAGCCCCGCTGGCGAGAAAAGCAAGGCCCCGATGCCTTTCCTCCTGCTATTTTGCCAGTTCGGTCATCGATCTATTCCAACCCTTATTTGTAAGGTGACTGTTACGGTTCGGTGTCCTTCGATGGATATGTATGGCTTGGTGATGCTAGCATGGAGCATGGTGCTTTGAAGCAGCGTCCTGGGGTGTCATGGGAAGCGAAAGCGGGGGGTCAGTCTCCAACATGCAGGAAGGAGTGGTGTGCAAGGCTGCTGCTACTCCTGCCAGTGCCAGTCCAGCAGCCTACCAGGCGGGCCATCGTGGAAAGCGTCAGCTTGTGAAGGTGTTTCGAGGTTTGAGGGGGCTGAAGTGTTTTGAGACTCTTGCGGGGCTATTGTCTGATGGTACGTGTCTGTAGGAGCAAGGTGTATTTAGGAGACTTTAGGAGCAGGGGATGTCTCTGAACTAAAGGGACAGATGTTGGCAAGCGCCACAGCGAAGCTTCGTGAAGAGTTTAAACGACATTATCAGCCTAGAGAATAACTGGTTGGTTGGTGCACTTATCTTGTTGTTAGTTTGGTCATTCCGATTGGATATGACCCTGAGAGGAGTTGGGCAAATCAGAGCTTTCTCGTGACAGGTTGGGGCGCACCTGCGTGGCGAGCAGAGTGCGCGCAGCCGCTTGCCCTTTTTGAACTCTTCTTCTCGGTCTTGATCGACTTCTGACGGCTGCGGCCTCCATGAGTTTGAAGGCATTCTGAGATGCTCGTAGATTTTCCTCCCTTCTTCAGAAGGATAGGTGAGGCTTGTTTTGCACGGAGGGCCAGCATGTGATAATTTGGTCTTGAAAGTCAGATTACATCCTCACATCAGCTTCAAAGCATCATGTGCCAGGGTACGGAAAAGGAGGCGTTTATTTCAAGCCCTCAAGGAGGTGATTCTGTGAGCATCAACCTACGCACACAACCGTCTGCCCACCGTCTTCCTATTGATTTTGAGGGAGGGCCTCCGTCCTTGCTTGGGTCAACTGCTGCTTGCAGGAGCCATGGCTCAAGAGGTAGTTTCCCAAAAGAGGGGGACCCCAATAAAGACCCTGAAATTACTATAATCCTTACTATGGGGACCCCTAAAAAGGTACCCCTAATTTTGGGAAACCCCCAAGTATCGATCTCCCACACTTCCGTTCCGTTGATCTGGTAGACTGAGGTGAGCTGGAGTCCGACCGTCGGCCAAGCACGGCCAAGAGGCCCAGCATGATGTGCGCAGACTTTTCTTGGGGCAATGGTGAACTGCAAGTTGTGTGAGGGCTGAAGGTGAAGGAGCTGATCTATCCAACCAACTTTGCTTTAGCAAGGAATCGTTTGGCCAGAAACTGCATGTACAGAAGATTCATGAGATGGTTTTCCTGGGGCTGAAGCGTGCCTTCGCTCATGCGGGTACCAGGACTTGAAGCGTCTTGCAAGCCGGGCCATTCATCCAAGCGATTCTCGAGTCATGGCTGCCAAGGGAACACTAAAGTATACTAAGGTGTACATGTGGTTCCCTCTAGACAAAATACTGCCCAGAGCTTTGCATGGCCCATCCCACCCGCTAAAGAATGCCTCTGCCGCAGTGGTTCGGGATCAAGACTCCGAGCCCAGCCTACTATGCTTTAGCCATAAGCTTTACGGCTGCCGTGGAAACCTAGCACGTCGCAGCCATGTTCCGCGTGGGCTTTCTGCAGGGCATTGTGTTTGCCCTGCTGGCCCCACACCTTGCAGAGAAAGTTATAGACTTGGAGACTTAGCCGTTCAGTTCCCTTCTACTAATTGCTATATAGTTCTGTATAATTAACTACTATAATATACTATTAGAATATACACTAGTACATCATAGTACATTGGTATTTAGTACATTGTGGTATTTTTTTTTTCGTTTGGGTTTGTTTTAGCATGACCAAGGAGGACTCAGTCCTGGAGGCTTTGGGCCAGGAGATCGACCGAGAGGACTGCAGCTTGCTGAACGAGGGCCCCAGCTGTGAGGCCTCTGCCTTCCTTCAAACCGGTGCGGCTGGGTTGCTGTTAGGGAACATAATTTAAGGTACTATACTAAGGGTATGTAGGGGATGGTATATGGGGGGGAGATATATAGAGGTACATAGGGATATGTAGGGTTTCGGGTTTGGGGTTAAGACTACATTATCCCCCTGTAGTGGAGAATCAAATGCAAAATCACATGGAAAACGACATGGACACTCGGGTGATATAGGGGGTTAAGGAGTTTAACTTAAGTTACTACATGGGGGAAACCATATTTTTCTTATAATCTCTCTACATGTATATATACATATATATACACACCCAATCTGGTAACTTAATTCATGTTCCTTAACAGCAACCCAGGCGGCTTTGCACTGGTCGGAGTCCCTGCGGACTGAGCCCTCTGCCTCCGAGATACGGGAGCCGCCTTCCTTCCTGGAGCTTCAGGAGGAAACGGCAACAGAGGCGGCCGTTGGGGAAGTGCACAGCAGCAGCTCCTCCGAAGAGGTGGGTGAGGTGCAGGCACAGAAGGCACAGAAGGTGGGCGAAGTCCACCTTGATAGGTCGCATGAGCTTCTGAGAGAATGGCAGGAGGAGGGTGTGGACGTGTATTCTGCCTCGCAGGGAGCACCCTCCGTAAGCACCTTAGCCTCAGAAGCTACAGAGGCCTTGCAGAGCTTTCGCCCACATCCGAGCAAAGACCTTGCCAGCTTCCCCATCCTTTGGATCGCTTTGCTGATCCTGACGTTTGTAGCCACCGTGGTGGTTCTGCTATACTTGGGGCTTTGGAAGATTCCCTTGGAGGAGCAGGTCCCTCAGTGGCTGCCAGAGGCTCTGTCACAGGACCTCGTGTCTAGGGAAGTTGCTCCGAAGCTGGTGGAGGAAGGGCTCCAGGAGCCTGAGCCCAAGGTTGAGCCGAAGCAGCCTCAGAAGCCTCAGAAGCCACAGGAATCGCAGGTGCAAGAACAGCTAACGGAGCTGGTGCGCCAGGCGGTGGCTTGCACCGAAGCCAACCTGGAGCAGATCTTACCCTCCGCAGCTGGCTACGACTGTGCCTTGTCCAAGCCGGTGAGCAGCGGCCAGCCTCTGAAGCTGCTTTGCCGAATCGAAGGCGCATTACCCGGTGGCCCACCCCCTTTGGGCTTGCTCCGGGCGCCACTCAGCCAGCGCAGCTGTGTCTGCTTCAGGGCTGTGGCAGAGGGCTCTGCACCGAAGAAGGCTGCTGAGGCCGTAGACTTCCAGGTCTCATTGGTTGGTGCGCCATGGATCCGAATCGATGTGCAGGGCCACGAAGTGAAGCTCCTCAACGCAGAGGGCGCATACACACCCTACCAGGTTTTCGGCGACTTGCCCAAGCACTGGAAGAACTTCGTGTCCCCCGAGCGGGACTCCAAATTTCTCTTCGGCCTCCCTAGCCCCCAACCGCCAGCTCCGGAGGGGCAGTTCCGGTTCCGGGAAGATGTGCTGCAGGTCGGCTCTGAGGTGGTGCTTTGTGGTGAGCTCATCCGAGACTCCAGCGGCCGCGTCTTCCTGCAGCCGTGGCAGGCTCAGTCCGATGGGGCAGACGCTTTCCTGCGCACATCCTGGGAGTTGGATGGCTGTCCAGATTTGGAGAGACCACATGTCCTGGCCACTACGGACGCAACTCTCATGGAACCAGCGCAGACACAAGAGACGCTCAGGGCAGAAAGCTGCTTTGACGACTTTTCCATGATGGTTCCTTAGACTTCCCCAAGCCAGTTTCACAAAAAGAGACGTGCTACGAGCCACGTGCCGGGGGGCGGCAAGAGGACCGCCAGAAGTGCCATGCACGAACCCCGTGCGTTCTGATGTGCAAAACAAGCATGTGCACATGATTGACATGTAGGGATAGTTATACTGGTTTTAAAGTTCGACCCTTCCCTGGTTAAGTGCAATGTTTAAGCATTCAACATGCCTCTGAGGACTCAGTTTCCCGAACTGCCGGCCATTTCCTCAATGCAAAACTATGTGGCACTTTGAGCTGGTCAATAATTTCCTCTATTGCCCTGCGGCCCCCTGAGAGCCTCACGAGTTTGGCCCTGTGCAGTGGGCACTGGTAGATATGCCCCCCCTTTATGTATTTGATCCTTTTTACCCAGGCCTTCCCGCAAGACTTTATCTCAGGCTCCCAACAGAGCGAAGACAGAGTGGAAACGAAGCAAGTCATGGGTTGGCGTGATTTGGGAAATCCATTAGAACTGTCTAGCAAGTCCCATCAGGATTTCGAGCCTGAGGCCTGCTCACTCGCCAGGATTTGTTAACTCAAACCACCAGTCCTTTTCCCAGGCTTCAAAGCAGTTTTAGAGTTCTTGCAGGACTGGCGCAGCTAGCAGCCCTCAACAATCTCAGCAAACCCTTCGGCGAACTGCGTCAGAAGGCTTGCAAAAAAGCAGCGGATGCAGGGGATGCGGGTTGCAGGAGGCATGTCAAAGTCCCGACGATGCTCAATCTAGATTCCGAGGAGGAACAATGTTTCTGAGGTACAATCTTGCTCGGTGCTGTCGTCTAGTAAGGCAAACCTTACTGGAACGCCGTTTATGTCGGTTGATGCATAGGGCACAGTATAGCCACACCCTAAACAATCAGCTAGCGAGTTTGGACAGTCTGCGGATGCATCAAGCAATCGTGTTCTGATTTGGGCATCCCTAAAAACGCTGACTCTAATCTGAGCACTTCGGAGTGGCAGTGCCAGAAGCTACCTTAAGATGCGGGCCGTGCCAAGATGCGGGTCATAGTTCAAGGGTTCCTTTACTTTTGGGAGTCCATCGATTTGGGCAGTATGAAAGGGATCTTGGCCATGTAGCAATGTGGTCGCTTGCGCGCAGACCTTTCTTTCTCCATGGGTTCTGAGAATCCTTTCCCATCTCCTTGCGAAGCTAGTTGGCCAGACCTGCGCCAGCTGGCTGCCATGGACGAGGCACACATGAGTTGAGACAGGTTACTGTGAGATCTGAATACCTATTATAGCATAGCCCTTTCGCTATTATGCACAGTTAAATGGTATTTCTCCCCCCAAAAAAATATACCCCCAAAAAGGCCCCCTAGTTTTGGATGAAGGTTTTGACATGGCGGCAGATGGTCCACTTTGGGCTGAACCTTCTCAGGCAAACACAAAGTCCCAGTCACTTTAGAGGCAATCCAAAAACTTTGACTCTGCTACTCAGCCGTGTTCAACATGCCCTGTGTAAATTGTAGGACACTTCTACCGGGTAGCATGTGGGATTCTCTCAGCCGGCAGCCATCACGTCCTCATAAGATACACCGCTGTATGCCCCCCTTGCATGGACATGTGCGCGTCCCTTCGATGTACCCTCAAGTGCTGAGAAAGCTACCGTCATTTCTTAAAGATCGTCCCCCCTCTCTAGCCAGCCTTGCACTTGCGCAGGCGGCAGCTCTCGATGCGCTGGATCCCTCCACCTATGAGCGAGCTGAGGCTATTAGTCTTATTATTATTACTACTATTATTACTGTTGATTTACTATTATTAGGGTTTAGGGATTTGGGGTTTAGGGTTATTTTTGTTTCTATTATTCCGTGTCTTGTTCTTCTCAGGGGCATATTGTACGGATCATGTAGGGTCCTAGGGTTCTCGGCGTTATCTCTGAATCTTAGATGGCCTCATCCAATTTTGTAGAGATTGAACGGAGATGTAGGGGTTCTCGACCAGGGCGCGTCGTTTCACTGAGTAGCGTGTGGTACAGACCATGTGGGCAAAGACCACTGCAGCAGCACCTTCGACTACCGGAGGTGGTGGGCTGAAGCGCTGGCTTTACAGTCATGACTGGGGTTGCCTTGCGGTTTTGTGTTTTTGGATTTGGGGGGGGTCTAGGCCTAGGACTAGGATTTATCCACGCTTGGCATGGCAGCTTTCGGGCAACTGATTTTGGACGGAAGTCCTGATAGTTCATTCCCTTCGAGCTCTTCAGGCATTGCTGCAAAAGACTTCGTCCGATCCTGCACAAGACTGTGCGTATCTGACTCTCTCCGAGGAAGCTGGGCCTGCTACCAGGTGTAGGGTGTCCTTCTTAGGGGTCCCCCTACGAGAGCTTATTGTGTATGCTTTCAAGTGGTCCCCCTTGTGCATGGAAACTACCACTTCAGGGTGCTGAGCTGTTTGGGCCAGGGATTATGTTTGGAGACATGTTTGGAGACTTTTGGACGGAGGCTTTGTCCAGCTTGGGAAGATTTTGTAGAGGCCACGGGCAGGGTGTAGGTAGGATCATAACCTCCTTCTCCTTACTACCCCTCCCCATATTATTGTGCTGAATTATCCCTAACTAAGCCTAATTAAGGGGGCATCTTGGGGTGGGGGGGGGTGGCATAGGAGGGGGTAGTGGGGGTGCAACCTCATGATATTGGTATTTGATTGGTACATAATCTACACTTTATGTGAGGCCCTACGTGAACCCAGTTTCCATTTCTTTTTCCATTTTCTTTTCGATCTGATTCTCCATCACGGCAGTTGATCCCAAACAAGTGGCTGTAACTCTTTCCCAGCAAGTCGACCCCTCCGTTGCAAGATTTCCGTGAATTCAAACTTCCAAACCCCCAAAGACCACTGAGAATTTTAAACCCTAAACCCCCGAAACCTCCTAAATCACCTAAATCCCCTGAACCCCCAAGATCCCCTAAACCCTAAACCCTAAACTGGTGCGCCTCTGTAGGGGCCCAAGATGGTCCAGCTGTGCTAACAGAGAGGATCTCCTCCAAAGGACCCGAAACGTTGAGAATCCCCCAGCCTGCCTAAGGATCTCCGGCCGGCCACCATCCAGGCAGCGAGAGAATGATCCAACTGGCGCTAAGTGGGCAAAGGGAGAAGGGATCCTAGAGCCTAGCATAGGGAATGCTCTTACAGATTGTGATGTTTTGGAAACTTCATCTCACAAGTGTGGATATTCTGGTCTCAACACGAGACATGAAGCGATGCCCCTGGACTTTGGCTTTCGCGCTTCTGGCTTAGCATCTGGGAGTTTAGAGAGTCCGCGTACAGGCTTGGCGGTTCGTGCTGCAGAGCAAAGATGTCAGTTTCAAATCCTACGATGGGAACCCTTGAGACAAAGGCTCTGGCCTTGAGAGAGTTGAAGTTTCAAGCTTTTGTTGTGTGATGTCCGTGTATTGCAACTTCTTGGAGGAGGATGCTGTAGCTTTCCAGAACCTTCATGGGTTTCTTGAGGGTTCATCGATGGAAGTCGCGCTTTATCCATCGTGAGATGCAAAGAAACAATTAGAGACGGCTATAAGCAAACTCAATCCTGCTCGAATCTTCACACTTTGCCACGCGCATGAGCAATTCTCCAAAAAATCTGAAGATGCGGAATGTAGGGCACCTGAATGCACATAAGGACGAGGTTCCTATGTGAGGTGAGGTCTTTCAGCCATGAGCCGTTTTTTGGGATCATAATGTTGTCTTTTGGGTCCTTATTTGAGCAGGCAAGTTCTCAGCAGTACCAGATGAGCATCGTCACGCTTTGCAACAATGTACACCTAATCCTGCAAAGCCCCGCAGTCACACGGGCACTCCACAAGCAATTAAAAGAAGGATGCTGCATCAGACGGAAGAGGCCTTGTATAGTGGAATGCTCTTTTGAGGGTTTCCTTCTATTGAAGTCGTGGCCTTTGCGGCCCCGGCTCGTACCAGGCTGTTCCCAAGATCGTCCCGCCGAAGGCTAGGAGGAGAGTGATTGAGCCTTTGCCGCAGGGTTTAGAGATAGTAGTTTCCATTTTCTTTTCCATTACCCCAATACAAGCCCAATATACTATAGCAGTTTCCATTTTCTTTTCCATTACCCCAATATAAGCCCAATATACTATAGTAGTTTCCATTTCCTTTTCCATTACCCCAACATAAGCCCAATATACTATAGTAG